CATTATTATACAAAATACAGATATCGAAATCCAATTTTCAATACCGTAAGCCTGTAGACTTACCGCTGGCTACTCTAGGGTATTTTGTTTACAAAAATGTTTTCCTTATTTTTGGAATTGCATATTCGTTGTTTTCTAAGTATTTAATGGGGAAATAAACCTGTCCAGTTGTGAAAGAGTGAGATAAGAAAACAGCACAAACATATTAAATTGTATATTATTAATTATTAAGTTATTTCTTAGTCATTAAATTTTAAGTTGAATAAAGATTACGTAAATAATCATCGCTTATTTGTAACAAGATATTTTATTGACGCCTAGTGGTTGAGCACTAAAAATCGGGTTTCGATACCAATGTTGGGAGTAGTACGATAGCTCACTGTGTAGCTTTGTGCTTAACCAATCCACCGACTTTGTTTTATACATAAGTTATTCTAAATTTCACGTCTAAAAAAATTAAACATGGATATTTTAAACATGAACTAAACCCAGACTTTTCGCTTTACTCCATATGGATAAAATGTAACAAATGATACTATATTTGATTTGGTAAAACTGCACTTTGAATGTTTCAGAAGATATAAAGAAGAAAAATGTATGAATATTTATTAATAAATTAAACATCCATTTACATCATAGTCACTATTTCTACAGAATAATACACATATCTGCCATATTATAAAAAGTCATTCATGCAAACGTTCTAACTTTTTATTTATCAGCTGCTGCTCTTTCACGAACTAAGAAGTAAATGTGTACGGGTGTCTTATAAAAATTAAAATGCAGGTAGTATGGGAATTTCCATGAAAAACGAACCCACTTTTGGAGCCGAGCCAGGTGAGGCCTTGTAGTTAACATTGCTGAAAAAAAAAAAAGAGAAAGAGAAAGAAACAAAAAAGGCGCCCCACTTATTGTGCTAAATCTTATTATTCTGTCAAATAAGAGTACTCCAAGAGTTGGCGGCGGGTTCTGTTGACTAGTTGCCTTCCATCTAGTATGGCCCGGCATGGCCAGGTGGTTAAGACGCTCGACTCGCAATCTGAGGGTCGCGGGTTCGAATCCCTGTCACACCAAACATGCTCGCCTTTCAGCCGTGGGGGCATTATAACGTGACGGTAAATCTCACTATTCGTTGTAAAAGAGTAGCCCAAGAGTTGGCGGTGGGTGGTGATAACTAGCTGCCTTCCCTCTAGTCTTACACTGCTAAATTAGGGACGGCTCAAAAACAAACAAACAAAAAAAAAACAGACCATCTAGTACATCTGTTGAAAATTAGAGAACCTGTTAGCTTTGTGCGAAAATTCTAAGAAAAAAAATCTTTAGTTCTTCCAGTGAAGCATCCGTCATAGTTGTATTTCAAGTGATGTTCTGGTTATTATTAATACCTTCTTGCACTAATGTTTAGATCTCTTAGTCCAGGAAATAAGAAGTACTATGTAAGTAGGTGTTTTTTAAGTATAACTACTTGAAGATGCAAGTCAAAGTTAACCAACAAACCTCGAACAAACTTGTAAATACATGTGTTAGATGTAAAATAAGGACTTCCTTAATTTTTCTGAGTTTTCCTTGTATTTTCTTCATTTCAACATTCAAAATTCTACCCTTTTTCCCATTTGATCTTTCCACGTCTTCAAGTGTTACATGCATACCTGATTCTCATGATTACCGAACTGCTCTATCTCTTCTATAATCACAAATATCGAGTTCAGCGCCATCTGTTGAAATTTACAAATGAAAAATAAAACATATAAAGTTTGTTTTCCATTGGAAGTACGAAGAAAATAGTCACAGATAAAAAAGTTGTTCATGCAATTTATAAAAAATATTGGTTTGCATATGAAGTTCGTGATAATAATTTTTCTTTTCTCAACCACTGGTTTTGGTATCAATAGCGGTTGTTATAGTGACAATATAAAAAAAGTAAACGTTGTTTCCTGTAATATTGTAATTGAGAAGGGAAAATGTTTCGAAATTTTGTGAATACTTTACACACATAACAGTTACAGGATGAAGACTGTCAGCGACATTTTAGCCAGGCTGTTGAGCATTAATAAGGTCCCCCAGGACGACAGCGGTAAGTTTACGGATTTACAATGCTAAAATACAGGATTCGATTCCCTGCAGTGAACACAGCAGATAGCCCTAATTGGCTTTGCTCTAAAAGAAACAAACAAGATGAAGACCAAATGGAACACCAGTCTCTGGTCGTCATACATTTCAGATATCAGGCTATGGCAAGCTTAGAAATTGAAACATTCTGATTTATAGATTTCTGACTCGTATTCTTTACCATCTTGAAGATTTTTATTGACTTTGTTTCCTTGTAACATTAATTTTCGTTTGTTTTTTTTACTTTCCATTTTCTGTCCATGACTACTGTTTTATTACATTTATCAGCTGAAATAATAGTTAGATCATCGCTGATTTTTTTGGACCATTTAAGTATTTTCTTTGATTGTGATTCCAATCGATGGAGGTTGCCTTGCATATTCTATAGCAGAAGTACGTCATTGCCGAGTTCATCTTCTCTGTTTTCTCCTAACTAAGAAGAGCTGTAGATTTCACATTTTTCTGCCCCCCAGTGGCAAAGCGGTATGTATGCAAAGTTACAATTCTAGAATCCGGGTTTCGATACCCATGGTGGGCAGAACACAGATAGCCCATTGTGTAGCTTTGTGCTTAAATTCAAACAAATCCTCATTAATTTTTAGTTGATTCACGAGCTTTCGGTTACAATTTCTGCAATGTAGTAACTAACAATGGTTCCATTAAGATCATCAGAACTCTGAGACTAGTTTTCATAGAACAACTTTATTCTGGTTTATGTGGAAAACAGAACTGCAGGAAAAGCAAAAGTACTTTCTTCCATTTCCTGTCACATTTCACCTTTTTCTTTTTTACTTCCCTAAGTCATTAGACCTCTATGGTTGAGATATGTCGATGATACTTTAATTTTCTATAGCTATGGTCATGAGTGTCTGAAGAAGTTTTATAGTCATCTAAAAACCAACATCCATTCACACAGTTCATCATGTAAGTGGAAAGGAAACATAATTTTTGTGGATGGATACCGTTGTTTTAAAAACGAATACCGACATGGTACTCACATCCCATATAAAACTAATACGAACTAACAGTCACCTACTCTACTCCTTCTGCCATCCAGAATTAGCTAAAAATTGCCTCTATTATGGGAACCATTACGGACTGAGCCTTACCAATTATATGCAAAATATTTAGAAACAGAGCTAAAACCACTTCAAGAAACTTACAAACTAATGAAAATCTAACTAGAATCGTCAGAAAAATTGTAAATACAGAACGTATTCAGATCAACTATAAACAAGAAACTGAAAACATCAAAGTTTCTTCACTGTCTTATAGTAACATATTACAGGACCGTCAGAAAGGGGGATGCGTTGGATGTAACACCCACCCTTTTTTTTTCCAATTAAGGACCCCTCGGTATTAATTTTTTTATGAATAGGTGAAAAAAACAACAACAACAACAACAAAAAAAAAAACGTCCAACTCTTTCCAATAAAAATGTACCCGTCAACAGCAAATTTGATTTAATAGAAACTATGTAATATTATTGGTGAATGAGCCCCTCCACAGTAGAATTTGGTGTGAAAAAATTAACTAAAATATATTAATAATAGTCAGAGCCAGTATCTATAATGATAGTCAATGGCCCATTTAATGGTAGGTAGGAAATGACCCCTATATATATCATCAGAGTGGACTCTCATTATCGCCAGAAGAGCCTCTGTACATTGAGTGGCAGAATCCAAACATTTATTTAAAATGGAAAAATAATAGTAAAAGTTTTATAAGTATGTAAATGTATAACAACAGTGGTGTAGCCACAATGAGGTACGTGCCTCGTCGTTTTTTTTTTTTTGGCAAGGGGCCCCTGATAGTAAAATAACAAGAGGGACTCTTGATAGTAAATGAACAAGAGAGACCCTGATAGTAAATGGACAAAAGGGGTCCTTGATAGTAAATGGACAAGAAGAGTCCCTGATAGTAAATGGACAAAAGGGGTCCTTGACAGTAAATGGACAAGAGAGACCCTGATAGTAAATGGACAAAAGGGGTCCTTGATAGTAAATGGACAAAAGGGGTCCTTGACAGTAAATGGACAAGAGAGACCCTGGTAGTAAATGGACAAAAGGGGTCCTTGATAGTAAATGGACAAGATGAGTCCCTGCTACATACCAAAGAAAATATTTAATAATTTTAGTGCGTTTACATATTTGTTTAATATTTGTATATTATGGGCCATATATGGGTTATTCTATAAACTATTTGCACTTTTCAATATATGGGAAAGTTTGATATGAATTTGGTTTGGTTTTGGACTGCTAAGCTAGCATGTCAAGTTTGGTCTGGATCGGACAGCATGTTTAGGAGGATATGAGTTCACAGACAGACAGAAAGTTTTCCTTGATATTGGATACTTACTACACTGGTATATAATATGGTTTGGTTTGTTTGAATTTTACGCAAAGCTACAAGGCTATCTGCGCTAGCCATCCCTAACCTAACAGTGAAAGACTAGAGGGAAGGCAGCTAGTCATCACTACCCACCACCAACTTTTGGACTACTTTTTTACATACTAATAGTGAGATTGACTCTCATCTTATAACGTCTCCACGGCTGAAAGGGCGAGCATGTTTAGTAGGACGGGGATTCAAACACGCGACATGCAGATTGCGAGTTGAGCGCCCCTAACCACTTGGCCACGCCAAGCCAATTTAATATGTATAGCGTATATACACTATCCTATCAAAAGTCATGGGACACGGGTAGTTATGAATAAAACCTGTCTTTATTCCAAGAAATTAACAGCCTTTGGCCTTAATGACTGCTTCAGTGCAATGACCACAAATATTTACTATTCTTATTTTTTGTGGTATTAATCTGCATTGTTCTGAAATTGGAGATGTTATAGCCTTCGTAAAAATGTTAAATATATATATATACACGTAATTTATTTTCTTTTTATAAATCTAGTTTGGTTTCTGAAAGACCAAACCAATTTCGTCGAGTATGTAAGCTTGAAAGAACAACGTCAAAGTACTTGCCAATATATAATTGAAAACTGTTGAAGGTTTAGGTCTGTTGACTCTATCGTTATAACACAAAAACATGTATTGTACAGAAACAGTAATTGTATACTAGAAATTTGGATGACACTTAAACCATGTTTTTTACACAACGATTAACTGTGTACTAAAAATTTGGAAAGCACTTAAAACATGTCATTTAACTATATACTAGAAAATTGGATAGCACTTAAAACGTGTCTTTTAAGTATGTACTAGAAATTTGGAAAGCACATAAATCATATCTTTTACACAAAGAATAACTATATATACTAGAAATCAGAGTAGCACTTAAAACGTGTCTTTTTAACTATACACTGGAAATTTGGACAGCACTTGCATCATGTTTTTTTACACAAAGAGTAACTCTATACTAAAAATATGGAAAGCACATAAATCATATCTTTTACACAAAGAATAACTGTATACTAAAAATTTGGAAAGCACTTAAAACATGTCTTTTACTCAAAGAGTAACTGTGTACTAAAAATTTGGAAAGCACTTAAAACATGTCTTATACTCAAAGAGTAACTGTGTACTAAAAATCTGGAAAGCACTTAAAACATGTCTTAATTTGTCAGAAATTTGGATAGCACCTAAAACGTGTGTTTTACTCAAAGAGTAACTATATATAATAGAAATCAGAGTAGCACTTAAAACATGTCTTTTTAACTATATACTGGAAATTTGGACAGCACTTGCATCATGTTTTTTTTACACAAAGAGTAACTGTATACTAAAAATATGGAAAGCACTTAAAACATGTCTTAATTTGTCAGAAATTTGGATAGCACCTAAAACGTGTGTTTTACTCAAAGAGTAACTGTATACTAAAAATTTGGAAAGCACTTAAACAGAGTAGCACTTAAAACATGTCTTTTTAACTATATACTGGAAATTTGGACAGCACTTGCATCATGTTTTTTTACACAAAGAGTAACTGTATACTAAAAATATGGAAAGCACTTAAAACATGTATTTTACTCAAACAGTAACTGTGTACTAAAAATTTGGAGGGTAACGGTGACATTTAGATATTTTTGCATAGATGCTTCTTAAACGATAAAAATATTGCTAAAATAAAACTTTCTGATTTTATGACACTCGCAAAGCTTGAATATCTTATGTGATATTTACTTATGATAAGACGATATTTATAAAAGTATAGAAAAGAGGACTACAACTCCGAATCTTTTATTGATTCGTTCCAAGCTAAAAGGGATGTCATAGGTACGACATTCTTTGTGCTCCAATGACATAGCCCATGTAGAGATTGAGGTCGATCACTATGATATTCATTTGTTCCGGTTATGATTTCCAGGTTGCTGTTCGGATATCTGAACCTGTATAAACTTCTCGAGTCTAGAGACGACTTTATTCTTCTCGAATCTGTATGTTTTGACATTTTGTCACACGATAGATTATTGGCTGATTTGACTCTTTTATGACAGGTTAACTTACAAGAACAAATGCAGTTATCTACTTTGTTTTCTGTTCCAATTCTTCCTCGATAGGAAAACGTTTTAAATTTTACGCTTCTCTTGCGACGGAGTGTTTCGACATTACCCAAGACCGAGTTGGCTTGTGCCACAACTTGTGGCATCGGTTTACTCTGAATAAGTTGCTTGTCAGTACAAAGAAGCGGGTTAGTCGCTTGGTACGGATTTTGGTAATGTCCGAAATGATCGTTATCAGGTGCACTGGTAGAACTTGGTGTTACGTAATTAGTATTCTTAGAACATAATATTTTTCTACAATTCTTGTTATTTTCGAAATGCCTTTCATTACTCCTTGTAAGACGTTGATAAAATTCAGTAGATGGACCGTAACTACTAGGGGACTTACTACATGTTCCTGAAGATGAAAAAGAAACGAAGGGCTCTCCATTGGCAGACTCTTCACGACTTCTGGTAGGGGTGTCCGAATGACCAACTTCTACCTCTTGTGGCCAAGATAACTGTTGAAACAAATTTCCAAATGATTTTCCACCAGTAGAGGTCCTATTCCCCGTGTTTTCTGTTGATTTTAGACAGTTTGTTTTAAACCTTTTATTAAAATCTAAATCATGAACAAAAGCGAGCTGGTCCAGAACTACTTCTAAGGTGTTTTCATCATTTATCGCAGCAACATCTTCATTATCGAAGCTATCATTTACGAGTCCTGTAGACCGGGTGGGAATAGACACTGGAACATGAGGAAGAATGTATCCTTCCGCCGTACAATCTCGCTGACGTAGTTCCTGGATTACACTTCTACCAAGTCTCTGAGGATAAAGATATATAAAGATTATAAAAGTATTTTTTTTCAAAAGTTTAAAAGATTCTGTATCATGCCAAATAGTACCTAAGACGGTTTCACGGCTGTAAGAGAAACAAGAGGAAATCCTCAATAACAGCGGCTGTAATTAGATCTCAAATTGGCCAAGAGATGTAGCTATGAGTTTAAAGTTTGTACTTGAAAAAACTCAGAGCCATTCTGTGAGCTGTTATGCTGCGGCTAAAAATAACACAGTTTTTTCTTCAAAGGTATAGAAAGTAATACGAAACGTAAGCGACAACGTTCATTTTTCTGAAACAAATTTAACAGTTATGTAAAATCAGTTCGTAATAAAATAATAATAGGATATAACAAGTGAATCTAGTACATGAAATTCGAGGGTTAATAATTTTTTTAACAGTTGGAGAACAGGGAGATTATTACTTGAAGATAAAGCTAATATTAGATTTTGTTACATGTAATAGTTATAAAGAAACCATAGTCAGAAATGTGTTTCTTATAGTAATGCAGTTTTTTTAAAGGTTTAGTAATATATCTAGCATAGTTTTCGATTTTCTAAAAAGTTAAGATTTCCAGCATTACTTTAAACTAAAAATTATGTAATTGTTTTAAGAAGGTGTAGGCTTCACCTTAATTTTTTTAAATTTCGCGCAAAGCT